ACAATTCTATTTTTTCACATATTATCCCATTTTTCTGCTCTGGTTCTTATTCAATTTTAATGTAACTTTCACAGGATACCAACAACACATAGTTCTAAATTTTGGCCTGTTGAATTTTTGATTAATGTAGTAGTTTTTGATTTATGGGCTTAGGAAGCATGAATTTTCCATTTTTTTCACTTTTTTGCAGCATCTCAATTGTAAATGTCATTTTAAAAAGTCTAAAGCATATATCAAAAATTTAACAAGCCAAATTTAAGAACTACATATGTACTGTTGGCATGCCAAATTAGAAGTGAATCGGTTAATAAATAAGGAAATAAAATGGGATTGAAAAAGGTATACAAAATCCAATATGGCCGCCGTTTCCATAGCAACCGATTCACAATATACTTTTTTAACTATTGATTTAAAATCCCAAATAACACACGATGTTCCACAGCAAATATTGGCACTCTAGGCCTTGTAATAGCCAAAATAGACCTCAGGTGCCCCACCAGTCCTTAATGAGTAGTAGATTGTCAGTTGGTTTTCATGTGTAGGTTGTCATATAGTCTTCATGTGTGGGTTGTCATTTTGTCCTCATGGCGCAATAGGTTGTCATTTGCAAATGCTGTAGGGCCAGAAAAAAAGACTCCAAGTATGCTTGTCAAACAGGATTTCCAAACATTCATTTGTTAAATATATATTTATTTTTTTTTAGTTTATTTTTTTTATTTTTTTCGGGGGGGGGGGGGTATGATCAAAGTATGAAAACTTTCTGCTGCATTGTTATGGCTGACAAATTATAGTAGGTGTATCTCCCTTGAGCTAAAAACTCGTGAAAAGATTCCTTTGTTGTGGTGTCGGCCTGTCGTTTACGGGAAAAAAGTTATTCAAGCATTAATAATGCAGCCTGTCATTCATGCGAGAACAAAATTAGGTTTTGAATAAATATCGACACATTAATAATAGACCCATCGACGTTGAGGGAAGATAGGGTTAATTGCTCGTGAATACCAAGGACGTCTGCTTTACGAACAGAAAACGTCTACTCAAAAGGAATATTATAATGATAAATGTTGTCAGACACCGAAACTGTCCGATTTGCTGCAAACAGAAACATCAACCATCAGTAAGAGTAGTGTTCTTTGTTTCTGGACGCGAAAAAACCCCCGCCTGATTTAGTCATGAAAACGCATAGACAATACGTCGACAGTAATTAGGTTCTTCTTTTTGGTTTTCTCTCCCATTGTTTGGACGAAACGAGAGATTGGACATTGGACAAAGCTCACAATGTGCTCGGTCCTCACGACTCACTCGCGTAGAAATCTTTGTTGTCTGCACAGGAGATTTAGCTCTTGTCTGCTCTGGCTATTGTTTAATCGCTTAGGTCAACTCGATAAATGGACCCACTTAACTGGATTGTTCTTTCTTCATAGTTGGCAGCTTATAATACTGTTGATTTGTTGAGCCGGAGGTCATTAACAATACCTGCTGTGATAGTTGCGTTGGTTTTTGAAGGGTGTTGAATTAAAGTTGGGCGGGATGTGGATTTTTTTTGGGGGGGGTTGTTTTTGTTTTGTTTTGGGGGGGCGGGGTGTTTGATGAAGGTCATTATGTATTTTGCGAACGACGTTGGCTTGATACTCAGTTCAGAGACTCAGTCAACAAAAGCTTCAGAGGCGGGTTATTTTATACTCCCCCTAAAACATTTATTTCTAAGTTTGGTATGATTTTACCAACTATCTGTATGAACCCCTCTGATGGGCGATTCGAGTGTGCA